ACACAAAAAAACCAAAATAAAAATACTATGCTTTCATCTGCATTCAGTCTCCATCAATTCTTTCTCTAGAGGTGAATAGCATTTTATATAATAAGTCCTTTGGAATTGTCTTGGATCTTTGTATTGCTAAGAATAGCTAACTCAGTTTCAGTTGCTCATCATACAATATTGCTATTACTGTGTACAATGTTCTCATGTTCTTCTCACTTCACTTTACCATCAGTTCATATAAGTCTTTCTAGGTTTTTCTGAAAATATCCTGCTTGTTTCTTATAGCACAATAGTATTCCATCACAATCATATAGCACAACTTGTTTAGCTATTCCCCATTTGATGGGAATCCCTTCAATTTCCAATTCTTTTTCACCATAAAAAGAGCTGTTATAAATATTTTTGTACATATGGATCCTATTTATTTCTTTAAATCTCTTTGGGATACAGACCTAGTAGTGGTATTGTTTAGTCAAAGGGTATGCACAGTTTTACAACCCTTTGGGCATAGCTCCAAATTGCTCTCCAGAATGGTCAAATCAGTTAAGTAACTCCATCAACAGTTCATCAGTGTCCCATTTTCCCCACATCACCGGCAACATTTGTCATTTTCCTTTTCTACAATATTAGCCAATCTGATATGTGTAAGGTAGTAACTCAGAGTTATTTTAATTTGCATTTTCTCTAATCAATAGTGATTTAGAACACTTTTTCATATTACTATGTGTAACTTAAATTTCTTCATCTGAAAACTGCCTGTTCATATTCTTTGACCATTTATGGGGAATGACTCACATTCTTATAATTTGACTCAATTCTCTGTATATTTGAGAAATAAGGCCTTTATCAGAGAAATTTGTTATAAACAATTTCCTCCAGTTTTCTGCTTTCCTTTTAATCTTGATGGCATTGGTTTTGTTATCTTTAAACTTAACATAATGAAAATTATCCATTTTATATCCCATAATGCTCAATATCTCTTGTTTGGTCATAAATTCTTCCCTTATCCATAGATCTGACAGGTAAACTATTCCATGCCAAACTATTCCATACCAAAAGGTATATATAACCCTTTGAAATCTCCTCTTAATGGAATTTTCTGCTGTATTCTCACCTCCCATTCCAATCCATACTTCCTACCACTGCCAGAATAATATTTCTTAGACACAGATCTAATCATGACACTTCTCTGTTCAAAACTCTTCCATATATTTCTATTGCCCCTTAAGTAAAGCTCCAATTCCTCACCTGGCATTCAAGGCCATCCACCTCCTCCCATTTTATAGTGTATTACTCTCCTCTTTGCACTCTGTGTTCTAGATACTCTATGGACTATTCCTTGTACCCCAGACATGCTCTGTGCTCTCGTATCTCCATACCTTTGCTCATACTGAACCTCATGGAATATTCTCCCCTTTCATCTCTTCCTTCAAAGTCTAACTCAAATGCCATCTTCTTTATGAAGGTTTATTTGATCCCCAAGTCAATAATAACTTTCTCCCTAGACCTCAGGTAGCAATTTTTTTGTCTAATGCACTTATCATGTAATACAATTTATTAGACATATCTAATGTGTATCTTGCACAATACATACATACACATTAGCCTGTAAGCTCCATGAAGGCACGAATTGTATCTTAACTCTGTACTTCTCCCATTGTTTAGCCCAGTGTTCTGAACTCAGCTGGTTCCTAATATTTTCTGAATGAATATATGATTAGCCAGTCAGTCAATAAGCATTTATGAAACAATTCCTATGTGCCACACACTGTGCTAAATGTTAGGGAAGGGCAAAAACACTGTCCCTGCCCTCCAAGAGCTCACATTCTAGTATGGGAAACTATACAAATGACTATGTACATACAAGATAATAGATATATGTATGTATGTATGAATATATATGTATATATATATACATATATGTGTATGTGGGAGAAAGAGATGTGACCCTGGGCAAGTCACTTGACCATGTTTGCCTCAGTTTCCTCATCTGTAAAATGAGCTGGAGAAGGAAATAGCAAATCACTCTAGTATCTTTACCAAGAAAACCTCAAAAGGGGTTATGATGAGTTGGATACAATTAAAAATAACGAAACAACAACTATATGTGTGTGTATGTGTATATACACATGCATATGTAGAAGATGGAAGGTAGTCTCAGAAGAAAGGCACTAGCAGTGAGGAGGACCAGGAAAAGGTTCTTGCAGAAGGCAAGATTTTAGCTGCATTTTGAAGGAACCAGGGAAACTAACAGGCAAAGGTGAGGTAGGAGAGCATCCCAGGAATGGGGGACAACCATTGAAAAAACACATTGTGTTTTTTCATAACATAATTGTGTTTCAAAACATAATTGTGTTTAGATATGATGGGTGTGATGGAGTATTATGCATGAGGAATAGCAAGAAGGAGGTTTCTTCTGGATCATGAAGTATGTGAAGGGGAATAAAATATAATAGACTACAAAGATAGGAGGAAGGTTGTAAAGGGCTTTAAATGCCAGATAGAGGATTTTGTATTTGATTCTTCAGGTAACAGGGAATCCTGTTTAAGAACTTCTGGATAGGGGTTCTTTGCAAACCTATAAGTGCTGCATAAATTTCAATTCATTGTAATTCTTCCCCATGAATGAAAACAATATCAGTGATTCCTAGTTTTTCCTCTCATTGCTTCGATCTGGGCTTGACATTAAATCTCATGTATTCTAGAACATCCTAGAATTCAGTGCATGTCATGCTGACCTGACCCAGTTATCGAACCATCTTCCTACAAATCAGCAGTAGTAATCATAGGCAAATGGTATCCCAGAGGGAGAAAGGGGAGGTTGAGAGGACTGGCAAACAGAGTTGCTGAAGTGAGCTAAGATTTTTTCCTCCCTTAAATAGCCTCAATCTCAAAAGAGATCTCAGTATCTAACCCTCTTCTGCTTATGGACTTTGACATACAGGCCAGGAAATGACACAGAGCAAGAAAACAACTCCTCTTCCTCCAGGCTGGCATATCTGCAAGCCAATCTTAAACTCAGGTCCTGTTTTTGCCTCACAGAACTGTACCCAGCACAGGATTACCATTTGGACTTAGATGAAAGTGCTGAGGACTCGTCATTACTTATTCAAATAGTGAAGCAGAAACAGAAATCTAGAGGTTTGCTTTTTAACTCCTTAACTCAAAAACAAAACTCTAATCTTCTTCAAACTAACCACTCTGTTACTGTTTCCTCAAAACGAACTGGGGTCTCTCAGCTTTCTCATCTATCAAGACATGTTCTCCAGGCTCAATAGCATCTGTCCTGTTATTGAGTGCATTGCCTTCTTTGAGTTCCCCTTTCCCATGTACCCAGATCTGATTTGAAGAGTCTAGAAGGTCACAGGTACCCCACCTCCATAAGCATGTCCCAGTTTTTCATCTTCTGATGTAGCATTTCCTATTTAGACATAGCTCAGGTTTACACAGAGCTTTCCAGTTTTCTTCACAGCAAACCTTGTCAGGTGGGTGGTACAAGTATTATTGCCCACATTTTACAGAGGAGGAAACTGAGACTTAATGACATGAAGTGACTTGTCCTAAGTCACACAGCTATGAAGTGGGAAAATCCAGATTCAAATCCTGGCATCAAGTTTGTGTAGATTTCTTCCTTACCACAAAATAAATAAATAAAATAAATGAACAGACAAATAGGTGAATGAATAGATCGGTGAATGAATGAACAAGCAAATAGATGAATGAACAAATAAATGAAAAGGTGAAGGAATAGGTGAAGGAATGAATAAATATATAGATAGATAATAAATGAATGAATGAATGACCAAATAAATAAATAAAGATTAAAAAATATTAAACAGCTATCAGCTATAGCTCATTCTAGTGGAATGAACATTGGGGGCAAGTTGCTTTACCTCTCTGGGCCTCAGTTTCCTCATCTGCAAAATGAGATTGAAATAGGTAATTTCTCAGTTCTGGTCTTCCTGTGACATTATGTGATTCTATACCCATGCTGGAAAAAAGCTACCTGACTGAATTCTGAATAGCTTGTACTGGAATTTCTTTGTCTAAATTAATTGCAGAAATGGATGTTTCTTTGTCATTTCCTCTCATTTTCAAGTCATCATTTTTTCCCTGTGTTTCCAAAGGAAACTTATTAATCCTGATTTTATTCCTGGAGTCACATAGGGAGGCATAGACCTCAACATCCTTTTCAGGGAGGTTGAACTATGGAACAGGAAAGCTGCCATCTCTCCAGGCCCACACTGACTGGCTGTGTGAAAGATTGATTACCCTAAGACAGATGTATTAGGAGCCATTTATCCTTTTAAACCACTTCCAAATGCATATATTTCCCTTATCACAGCTATCTGAAAAAAGGCAGGGCAGGTGGTATTGAGACGATTTCATAGAAGAGTAAATAAACCTTGGGACACTTGGCCAAGGGCATTGAAATAACCCTGGACTGGAAGGTGTCTAGATATTGGGAAGGTTTTCTGCTCTTTCCCACCTCCCTGGTTTTTTCATTTCTTATTTGATCATCGTTCCCCTTCCCTATCTTGCCTATCACACACACACAAAAGAAGGCAGGGGTCTCTTGCTTGCTGGGATAATGGAAAACAACGAAACCTTACAGGGCAAGAAACTCAAAGCTGTATCTGACAGCTCCTGGTTAGGGGTGAGTGAAATGAACAGACTGCAAGTGTTAAAGGGCTTGTCCCCATCACACACACACACACACACACACACACGCACACAGTCCAAAAGCAGACCAGGTTGACGTCTGGTGAGCTGTTCACGGGGGGAGTGGTGATGGAGGAGGTAGGGGAGCCGAAGGGGTGGGGTCAGGCACGATCCAAGCTTTCGGTCATTTCTCTCCTCCTCGCCCCCTCCTCTCATGCTCTGGTCAGGTTGGTTGGCAGAGCAAGGGCGATAAGGATCGAGCCGTGACGTCAAAGGAGCAGACCCACTAAAGTCAAGCCTCTGGAGCGCATCGTTGAGAGGTGGAGACACAGACTCCGACCCAGACCTGGACGGAGCTAGCGATCTTAGTAGCCGCGGGCTGGTGCTGCTGCCAAAACGGATTCAACTCACTGGGACAGCTCCCCGCTGGGACTTGCGCTCCGAACTCAACCCCAGCGCAGGTCCCTAGGTAAGCGGCACTGGAGAAGAACTGGTCCCAGGAGTAGCTCGCGATCTCCTCTCAGTGCTTAGATACGACAGGCTTGTCTTGGTTAATTTGAGAGGGGAAGGTCTCTCTCCGCCCATGTTAGGCGGGGGTGGAGTTGTAGGGAGACTAGGGCATGGAAGAGATGGTGGGGAAACCAAACTGAAGGGAGGGTTAGTTAGGGGCACAGGTGATGAGAAAAGACGGAGAAAATTTGGAGGCTGAGTTGGGGGTGGGATGGGCTGGAAGAGAACAGGGTTTGGGACAAATTCTGCCCAAGTGACAGCTCAAATCCATCTACTCCCTGGGTTTTTTTTTTTCCCAAAAGCGGAGATTGAATGAAGCCTTTTACCAACGTTGGCAAACACAGATAAAACCTAAAGTCCCATTCGCACACATCCTTTTCCTCCTCATCAGTACCAGAGATAGAGGCAGGTTCCGTAGAGGGTTAAAGTCTTTGTAAAGAAAGTGCGTCCCACAGCTTCTGGGCTTCTCCCGCAGAAACAGCACTGAAATTAGACTCATCCTCTCCCTACCCAACCCTTTTCGTTTTCATTTTATTTTCAAAAAGTCAATCTTGTCCTGTTAAAGAGAGCTCAATCCCTTGGAAGGGATGCAATTGAAAAGGGGATAAAGATTCGATTAGTTCACTAACATTACTCATTTCTTGGGTTCTAAGATGGGAATGGGGTCAGAAGCACGGATGTTTCAGGTTGAACAGAGCAAGAGAGATGGCCAAATGAAGGTTTCACTTAACTATTTGTCCTTTGTATTTGCAGCAAGAGTCACGCCCAAAGGATCGAGGAATCATGGCTCTGGGTGAACTTGGTCTCCTCACCTGGCTTCGGGAGAGCCGGCAGTCAAGGAAATTAATCCTTTTTATCGTGTTTCTTGCTCTCCTCTTAGACAATATGCTGCTCACGGTCGTGGGTAAGTGGAAGCCTCTTTTCTTGGCTTCCTTTTAGATGAACTAAGGTCATAGCTCCTAGCTACTATGCATTTCCAGTAACCATAACTCTTGAGATTTGCTTCTATACAAATTACAGAAATTTGACACACTTCTCGAAAGCACATGGTTAGAAGATGGGGCTCAGGATCCTAGGTTTTTGTTTCTGCTACTGAGACGTTATTTGTGCCTTCATTTTCCCCGGTGGTCACATCAGCAAATGACTCTCCAGATAAGGAGCAGAACTTATGTTTCCTCTTGATAGTACTTCCCCTCACCATTTCATTGTGGTGGTAAAGATTTCTGTTGCAGAAGAATAATATTTAAAGTTCTAATAGTCATCTGGCTTTTAAAAAGTTATTTAGCATAAAGATTATGCACTTTATTTTAGGGTCTACCTTACAACAATGAGGACAAATAATATTATTCCCTAGCTCCAAAAACCAAGGAGTGAGAGTTAGAGTTCTTGTAGGATTGAGTGTGCCTAACCAGGGAACATTTCCTGACCAGCTTCAAAGGTAATGTTGAGAAGATGTCAACTTTAGCCTCAGACTATATTAGATTATCCCTATTTGAAAAATGGAAAACTAGGTCTCCTAAATTAACCCCATTAGCAAAAAGCATCTGATAAGTTTTCTTTTCCCTGAAATGCCCTAATTTTAAATGGCTCTATGAGTCATTTGTAACAGAAGGTTCAATATGAGGTGGCTTCTGTTATCTCAGTTTGCAGGCTCGCTGGACACATCTTCTGAAGAACAAATAGATTCATATTCTTGCATGTGAAAGAAGGACAGAGGGTGCAGCTCTCTCACTTGCTCTTGGCTGTAAACTATCCTGACTCTTTTATACTGATGGTCTGTCTGGATATACTTACCTGGAGCTTCAGTGGGGTCTTGGATGTTGTTTGTACTCTCTGAAACCCTTTGAAATTATGAATTGCCTGGACTATACAATAAATACAAATTTCAAGTTTATGTAATAGAAACACAGAATAAGCCTGTTACAAAATTGTTATTTCCTGTGATGTTTTGATGACACATAATGCAATTTAGATTTCTATTTCCTTGTTTCATTTACTTAAATGTCCTTATGGCTATATACATTCTTTGGCTGGAGAAATACTGAAAATTCTGGGTAAATATTGACCACATTTTACATTTCAACTAGCCTTCTTCTTGTAAATAATGGCTTATGGCAAATTAAATGAATTAAATGTCTATGAATTAAATGAATTAAAGGGCTATGTGGAGAAAGTAAAGGATATAAATTGCCATTCACTTTCTTAACTGCCCCTGAATAGGTAGACGTTTAATAGGATAGGCTAAATAAGGTGAAGTTGTCCAGACTTTAGTAAATTACTCTTCCCACTCAATTTTGGAGAGAACTAGTTGGCTGTTGTCAACCACTTTTCTATTTTGCTTGTGTTTCTAGTGCCCATCATACCCAGTTACTTATACAGCATTAAGCATGAAAAAAATGCCACAGAAATACAAACTGCCAAACCAGAAACCGGGTCTCCCACCTTCAGCAGTATCTTCTCCTATTACGACAACTCCACAATGGTCACTGGAAATGCCACTAGAGCACCTGGACGAGGACAGTCCTATAAAACAGTGACACAGCAGATGGTAGTCAATGCAACCAGCATCCCATCTGACTGCCCCAAGGAAGACAAAGACCTGCTCAATGAAAATGTTCAAGTCGGCTTATTATTTGCTTCCAAAGCGACCATACAGCTCCTCACCAACCCTTTCATAGGGCCAATGACTAACAGGTAGGTCATTCCTTAGTGAAATCATTTGATACCAACATCTGCCAAGTAATATCTCTCAAGCTAACTCCCTACCTTCTGCAGTATCTTGCTATTGTGTCTCTTGGAAGCTGTCATTCTTTTCATTCATGAGGTGTCTTCAATGGAAGTCTCAGTAAATGGGCAATCCAAATGCTGCCATATCCCTCCCTTTACTCTTCCCCCATTGTCTCTTCTCCCATGCCAGCTAAGGATGCATTCCCATCTTTCTCTTCTTTTCTACTCTCCAAAATAATCTTAGGCAATTGTTAAAAATGAAAGTAACCAGCATCTTTGAATTGTGAGTCTGATGTATCTCAATTCTAGGTTTGACTAGTGAGCAGTTGCAAAAATAGCCTTTGCTTAGTCAACACTCCACGGTAACCACTGGCTGTCTTGCATTTCTAAATGTAATTTAGCTTTGTTTCTTCCCCATTTCCCCTACCCTTGCTCCAGACCTCTTTTGGGGAACTTTCTTTTGGATTACATGGCCAAGAAGGACTGTGAAAAAATGACATTCATGAGACTAGCTTACAGATAGCATTTTAAAGCCAACTTTGGAGCTACAGGCAATGTGCTAATTCCTTCTATTTTACCAGTTGCTACGGCTTGTGTCTACACATAGGCAATTAAATGCAAACTGAGGCAATCATTCAATCCCCATCCCCTTAAAGATATCCTCAGTGTTAGGACTCATTATCTGGATATTACTGGCAAAAAGTATTTTCTTGAATTAAATTTTCTAGGTAATAAAATCAGCTTTTTACTTCTTATGTGAATTGATAAATCAAGTATTTAGTGAGCAGTTAACATGTGTGGCACCAGGTGCTATGGAGTACAAAGTCATAAGCTTCACTTATGAGAAATTTATAATTTTGTTGGGGTGATGGGACTCAGTTTCCTCATCTGTAAAATAAGAGGAGTTAGACTAGATGATCTCCAATGTCTCTTCCAGTTCTAAAAAATATATGATTCTAGCAAAATATATGCGTATGAAATAGTGAATGAACAAGACAGTATTATATGCATACATTTATGGACAAACACATATATAGTCATACATGTCAGCATTTTAAAATTGCTATCAGAAGGTCTCAGTTGTCCTGTTTGATTAAGAACTGGAATAGTATATAATAAACAGATATGAGCATTGTCAGAGAAGTAGAGATCTCACTAAGCCATTTGCCATCTGTGTGACTTTGAGCAATTCATCTAACCTCTCTGGGCCTCAGTTTCCTTATATATAAAATCAGAGCATTGCTCCATTGTATATGTCCTCTAATATCCCTCCAGTCCGAAATTATGATCTTATGAGTCTGATGTGAATTGGAGTCATTGTGGAAGTTTCTACTGAGGATTCAGGTCTTGAGGTGGGCCACTGAAAGAGGTGGAGGAAGGGAGGATGGTGGAGGAATTCTATATGGTAGTAACAGTGTGAACAAAGACACAGGGGAGGACATAAGTGTGGTGGGGAGTGAGTAGGGGTGAGTGAAGGAGAGGTGTCTGACTGGGGGGAAGGGCCATTTGGGGAACAGTGAGAAATAAGGAACAGGTAGTTAGAGCCAGGTTACAGAAAGTCTGGAAAACTAAGCAGAAAAATTTAGATCCAAAAGGGCAGGCAGTAGTGCCTCCTTACAAATTCTTGATCAAGGCAGTGACATGAGCAGAAAAAATATCTCAGAAATATTAAGTTCATAGCAATGTACAGAATGAATTGGAGCTGGAGAGACCAGGCAGCTCAATCATGCAGGATACGAGGTAAAGAGATGCACTAGAGTGATAGCATTAAGAATGAAGAAGGGATGAAATGGAAGTGCCCATACTACTTGCGAAAGAGTAGAAGATCTTAAAAGTATGAATTGCTCTTTATTTGAAGCGTCTCCAAACTTTTTTGATCGCATACCCTTATCAGTGAAAAACAAATAAGTGTGAGTATTTATTTATAAAGTATACACATGTCCTAATGTACTGTTATGTAGATCAAGAACTTGCCCTAAAATAGAAACGAAAAAGAGGAAGTTGAAATAACATTTTATTGACTAACAATACAAACCCTCTTTTGTTTTCACTAAAATGCTATTATTAATAATGACATTTTAGTGAAAGCAATATGATTGAATATGCTTCACTATTTTTGAAAATCTTGGTTTAATTTTTTTTGTTACAGTGATTCAAAGATGTGGTTCTAAGTTCAGTTTATTACAATATTTGATATTGATGATTGTCATAGCTGAAAACAAATCTGTCACAAAGATGCTTAGTTTTAAATGGAGGAAGTACATTGTTGCCCATTACTAAATCATAATATTTAGTTTTTCAATCCTATCCACCAATTAGGCAAAGATTTTCATTGAAATTTATCTTCTTTGATGTTTATCAGTTGTTGTAAACTTGTCAGAATGTGTTGGCTTTTTATATTTCAACAAATGGATTCAAAACTCATTGAAAACCTCTTTTATTTGGGAGGTTTTTAACCAGGTTAGAAAATTCTCCTGCCAGGGTTTTATATATAGATATGAGAGATATGAGTGTTGATAGGTGACCTGTGTCAATTTCAGTATCTCAAAGATAAGAGAATGAGTATTGCAGAAGAACATAGTCCACAGTGCCAAACACAGCACTGCTCAAGATGGAGGAGGATTGAATAGAAGGTTGTGAGATTTGGCAATTGTGAGATCTTTGAAGAAAGCAGTTTCAAGGAGTTCAAAATAAGGAGGAAATTGAGAACCTGGAAGACTAGAATGCTGAGGGTGTCCTCCATAGAAATAGAAAAGTTCAAAAGAGAGAGAGGGTTTGGGGCAAAAATAATGCATGGCCACTGTCCAATGCCTCCTGCAGAAGCCACAGGTCAAAAAGAGTGAAGGGCAATATAAGAGTAAGGGCAGGGAGTCTTGCCTGCATGACTATTTGGGTTGAGGATATGTTATAAAAGTCCTAAGGGGTTCATAGGGCAACTAGTGGTGCAGTAGATAGAGTACCAGGCCTAGAGTCAGGAAGAATCATCTTCCTGAGTTCAAATCTGGCCTCAAACGCTTACTACCTGTGGGATCTGGACAAGTCGTTGAACCCTGTTTGCCTCAGTTCTTCATCTGTAAAATGAGCTGGAGCAGGAAATGGCAAACCATTCCAATATCTTTGCCAAGAAAACCCTACATGGGGTCATAGAGAGTTGGACACAACTGAAAAATAACTGAACAACAAAGGAGTTTGTGCTGGGGGGAGGTTTGACACAATCCATCTTCCCAACCTTTGATTGGTTGACCACACATGCACTGCAAGGTTATACCATTAGGAAACCATGGGTCTGGAAAGATGGCACTGCTGACCCACAGTCAGGAGGACTTAATGCACATTTATAACTCATCTCCATTAATTTCCTAGACTTCTAAGTGGCAGATTGCAAGGTCATATTAAAGCCATGACAATGGTCCCAAACCACATCCTGCCCTTTTCTTGTTAATCAGTCAGAAAACTATTTTTAGATGGCAGGGGACAAAACATACTCACAAAAGTAATCCAAGGCTGGTTTGAGATTATGACCCCACTGAGAAGTACCATTGTAAATATGACAACACATCTTCCTGTCAACAAAAGAAAAATCAAACAAACTTAACTAGTCATGGTTTCAAAACTGTTTGGGTTTCTATGTGTGGGAAGATCAAGTAAGAGCACTTCTCGAAGATGTGTCTAATATAATTACAGAAAATTGCTCAGAATTTTGCGTTCTGAGAGGGCAAAGAGCTTATTTAGTATGCAGCAAATGGCAAGACATTATCATAATAATGCCCTTGCCAGACACCTGGTGGGAGTGGTGCAAAGGCACTGTATCGTAGGTACTGGGAAACTCAGGAATCGAAATGATTGAAGCATCACAATTCTCCAAATGCAAATGGGAAGTGAATGAGTTTTTCAAGCTGGCTCATATTGTAATGTTTTGCTTTTGTCAAGGGAAGCAGCTTGTTTAAACAGTGATTTTTCACTATTAAACATCCAGTATGAGACTCACGCTGTAGTTGCCCAAGACTGAGGTTTTACACACACACACACACATGCAAACACACAGGGCATGCATGCATGTTTCTGTGTATGTACACATGTAGACATATGCATAAATACATATATATGCACATGGGTGTATGTATACATGTATATGTGTGTGTTTTATACATGCACCCTTCTCTGGAGAGAAGCCTTGATTTACTTTGCTACCTTTAAAATATAGGATTAACGGAGGCAGCTAGGTGGCACAGTGGATAGAGCACTGACCTTGGAGTCAGGAGGACCTGAGTTCAAATCCGGACTCAGACACATAACACTCACTAGCTGTGTGACTCTGGGTAAGTCACTTAATCCCAATTGCCTCACCAAAAAAAAAAAATGTAGGATTAACCAACCAATCAATTAGCAAGCATTTATAAAGTACCTAGTATGTATATATCAGGTACTCTGCCAGTTAATGAGGAATACAGAGACAGAAATGAAATAGTTGCTGCCCTCTAGGAGCTTATATTCTATGTTCCATCGGGAGAGACAACACACAGATATGTAAATATATGCAAAATTTTAAAAAGATAATTTTTGTAGGGAGTGAGGTGATGGTAAAAAAAGCAGTAACAGATGAAGGAATCAGGAAGGGTTTCCTGTAGAATGTGGCCTTCCCAGTTTCACCTGGCTACTGCAGACAGCTAGGTGACACAATGGAGAGAATGCTGGACCTGAAATCAGTAAGACCTGAGTTCAAATCTGACTTCAGCCACTTACTAGCTGTGCGACCCTGGGCAAGTCACTTAATCTGTTTGTCCCAATTTCCCTATCAGTAAAATAGGGATAATAATAACACCTGCCTCCCAGAGTTGTTATGAAAATAAAGTGAGATGCTATCTTAAAGTTCTTTGTAAATCTTAATATACTAGCATTTATAAATGCTAGCTTTTTAAAAATTATTACTCCCATTATCCATGAGTCATTCATAGAATCCTAGACTT